ATAAACAAAGCAAACTTTAAAATTTTACGGTTAGTTCGAGCAGAAAGTTTGGGTTTGATAACGGGTTGTTGACGTCATGGACCCAAATGGTTCCTAGATAAGATGATTTTGCGATGAGAATCGTAATATTTCTCACTTTTGCAACGATGCCAGTGTTTCCAGTTTCTTAAACGGCGTTTCAATAAACGCAGTTTGTGCAACGTACCGAAGCGCTGGTGAAAACGGTCCGTCGTTAAACGCGTTTAATTTCGGCTTTTAACATAAACTTAGTTTCGTCAAACTGCGTTTCGCTTGTTTCTGATGAAAATGGGGCTTACTGTATAATGCTGTTGGACGAATGCTGACTCAGCGATCCCAGGCTTTCTCGCAGTTGCAGAAACCGCTCAATGAGCCTCTGGTGCAAAGGTTGCACGGTAACCGGAGCCAGTTTGCCATGAAGGTACAGGCCTTCCTCTATCACCTGAAGAACATTTACATTATTCCCCTTCCACTTCCCAGCTTCTTCTTGCTCAATGATTACCGTAGTAGCGTTCCAGATCAATTCCTGCAGCGTATTCACATAACACTTGTGTTCCGGGTAAAGTTTGGCGAACTCTTTGGTAAAGAACGCTTGCTGGTACTTGCTCAGTCCCCCCTGTAGCACAATTTGCGATCATCCGCGAGGAAAGTGGGAGAATGAGCGCCAACAACTTACCTGCACATTTGCGTCAATAATGCCTTGCAGCCTCATGGTGAAGGGATTCAAGTTCCGCTTCGGCTCGTGGGTGTAAACAGCGATCAGCTGCCTGAGCTCGTTTTCCACGTTTCGCATTGTCTCGCAAGCGAACTGCACCGGGGGAATTTCCTCTGTTTGCCGGTCGATCACTTCAAACCATCTGAGAATCCCCGGAAGAGGCGCGGCTGTTTCCACAACCGTGCGCTCTATCCACATAGTCTGAAAAGCACCAATTTAAGGCCAAAAAAATCGCCTGCTGGGAACATCGTCACCTTAATCTCATTCTCTTTATCGGTGATTCCTTTATGGACGGGTCGGTCGCACTGAAACTTCTTCACATCATTGTAGTGGTAAAACCGGGAAATTTTCTCCGGAATATCAGTTGCAGTGGTGATCGGCGTGATTTCCGGAATCGGCTTCACATTGGTTATTTGAATGACTACAAAAAGTCAAGGAGTTATTCGCTTAAAGTGCAAGTGATTACCGATCTGCCTATTCTGGGGTTCAAAAGGATACATTGTCCATCGGAATTAATAATACTGTCGTCGGGCGGCGTGTTCTTCATCAGGATTTGAGCCGACGGAAATTCGGTTTGCAATCTTTGAGTGAAGGCACCTATTCTTTCATACTCTAACCCTCTGTAGATAAACTGCTTATTCTGAAAAGCGAATACAACTTAGAGTTAACACAGTTACGGTGCTATTGAAAACTTACTCGAACGAACAGTGGAAAACT